CTTCGTTTTTGTCAGTCGTCTTCTACTTCCTTCTTCCTCATTTTGAAATACCACTGCCTTGCCCTCTAGTCCCGCTACCCAACAAATATTTCCTCCCTCTATTGTACCGCTAGGTCAAGAAGTACCTTAGGCTGATCGTTTGTGCATGAGCTACTGCTGCCTCCGCGAGGAAAAGTCAACCACCAATCACACCCGTCTGAAGGAATCTGCCCAAACCTGGGCATTAGATTCATTGGACTAAAACCAATAAAAAACTAAGTAAAATAAAACAAGAGAAACAAAAATAAATAAATAGCCTAAATATGCTGATACTGGGGATGATTTTCAGACTGGCCATCTGGTTGTTTCTAGGTTCAAGTTTGCACGTGTATTTTGAACAGAGCGTGGGTATACCAGCTATGCTAAGCCTACAGGTGCTGGTCCCACAGACTTGTTCCCAACAATTTGTGGATGTACCAGCTATGCTAAGGTTGCAGGTGCTGGTCCCACAGACCTGTTCCCAACAGTCTGCGTATATGTCATCTGAGCTCGCGTAGGTGGTGACCCCACAGAACTGTTTTTCAACAGTTTGCGGGTGTACCAACTGAGCTAGGTCAGTTGGTGCCTGTCCCACATGCCTGTTCTCAACAGTTTGCGGGGGGCACCAACTGAGTTAGGCCCAACAACAGTGATCCTGCAGACCTGTTTACCAACAATCTGCAGGTGGACCAACTGAGCTAGGCCTAGCGGCATTGATCCCGCAGGCCTGTTTTTTCAACAGTCTGCGGGTATACCTGATGAGCCAGGCCTTGTGGCATCGGTCCCACAAGCCTGTTCCAACAGCTTGCGGGTGTATAGCTGATCTAGGCCTAGTGGCACTATTCCCACAGACCTGTCTTTCAACATCTGCGGTGTACCAACTAAGCTTGACCCACGGGTGCTGGTCCCAGAGGCCTGTTTTTCAACAGCCTGCGTGTGTACCAGCTTGACTTGATCTACGGGTGTTGGTCCCACAGGCATTGTTTTTCAACAGCCTGCGGGGTGTACCAGCTGAGCTTGGCCTGCGGGTGCTGGTTCCACAAGCCTACTTCCAGCAGTCCGCGAGTGTATCAACTGAACTAGGCCCGCAACTGCTGATCCCTCAGGCCTATTTCCACTAGTTCACAGGTGTACCAACTGAGCTAGGCCGTGGTGCTGGTCCCACAGGCCTATTCTCTCAGCAGTTCGAGGGTGTACTAACTGCGCGGGGCCGTGGTGCTGGTCCCACAGGCCTATTCTCTCAGCAGTTCAAGGGTGTACCAACTGCGCTGGGCCGTGGTGCTGGTCCCACATGCCTATTCTCTCAGCAGTTCGAGGGTGTACCAACTGCGCTAGGCCGTGGTGCTGGTCCCACTGGCCTACGCTGGGCGGCACCCTACCTCTATTAAGGAAGGTGTCGACACAGTTGTTATCTACCCCTGTCTTGGTGGGGAAACTCAACTCACGTCCGTCCGCTCCTTGCTCAGCAACCTCGAGCGCTTTTTTTGTTTTCTTTTTGAAGTTCTTTTCGGTACTTCTTCGCCGTCGGTCCTGAAGTTAGTTTTCGACCTTGATAACAGACAGAAAAATGAAAAAAAATAAAAATAAAAATAAATCAACAAAAATAAAAATAGTAGAATTGAAGAGGACAAGGATCTGTCGACGCCCTCTTGGTCTTGCCAGTCGAACCTAGGCTTGGGCTCGTCTAACAAAACCAAGGGGGATAGTCCCTTAAGACCCTCGACCCCTAAGTCCCTATTGGTCGCGTTCCTTTGCTCCTTAATCGCTTGCTGGCCTCGAACCTCACCCCGTCTGTGGAAAGTCCAGCACCGTAGCCAATAGGGCAAAGCCCAAGCTTGAACTAGGTAGGTGTGAACCCTCCATATGAGTAGTCGTGGGACTATGATAAGTCCTACCCACACAAACCAGGCTTTGGCCTTGGCCTACCGGCCAATCTCCCGGCCGCCATATGACGTCGTTCGTGCCTAGGTTCGTAAAACCGTCTGGCACCCTGGTCGTCGGGCGCACCACATGCTTTGCCGAACTCTCGACTTTCCCCCAACTCGGCCTGACGAACCCGTGTCTTTCAGCGCGTCGTCAAACACAATCTTCCCGCGCGCGCACAAGGTAAAATTTTCATCTCCTTTGCGATAGGCCCTGCCAGAAGGACGAGCCAGTCTACAAGTAAAGATAAATAGATATTATAAGATGAAAGGAAAATATAACCAAAAATAAAAATTACAGAAGGTGGGTAACCGGTCCCTATGGCTTTGACACATCCTGCCAGCGTTCATCGGGTATAACCCACACCGACCGCGGGTTTGTCTGTCAATTTTCTATTCCGACTCTACGGGCTGCGCTACGTGTGCTTTTGGTCAGGCTCATTCCTTGCTTGCTAGACTGGCATCACCGACGATTAATGGTCATCTTACTGTGCTACGCAATAATGCGAGCCCCCCACACCCTCTAACTCGACTATACTTGAGTCGGAGTTTCGCCAAGAGCGAGGCTGTCGAGATAAGCGCCCTAACGCGATTTACCTCATCAACGTATTTCATTGATCAAGGACGCACCCAGTGCGACCTTTAAAAAGGACGGCAAATACCCTTGTAAGTGTGTTTGCCACGACAGTTCTCCCAGACCCCATTAAGTGACGTCCCCGTCGCTTTGGGTAAGGACTAGAAAGTTATGAATGAAAATACAGGTGAATGCATAGACTTAGCCGATGGACAACCAAATCCGTATAATCGGAAGGACTCAACTTGAGGTTTGGTACTCTAGTTCTGCGGCGTCCCTATGGCGAGCAAGAGTTCAACCTGCGCCTCCTGTCTGACTTACAGGGATACTTTCTTTATAGTACCGCCCTAGGTTAGCTTCAGTGTTCAAATACCAACCCCTTCCGTTTGTCCTAGACGCCTTCCGACTTTCGTTGGGTGTCGTCTGAATCGGGCTGTCAAGTAACCGTCATCTTTGGGCGCGGTTTTTAGGCAGGACAACTGCCCCGAGTGGGACAAACTGCAGCACACAACAAGCGCAGGTAGCCCACCCCTTCTGAGTAGCTTAGCAAAACCAAAGCATATTTCTTTTTGGTGGCTCACTCTGCAATCGAAATAAGTAGCGTACTCGTCTGGGTGGTTTACCATATAAAAACACACCCCCTCGAGTAGCTCAAACTTTTGACTTACATAGTGTTGCACGTAGCTCACTCCATGCAATTTGAACCAAAACTTAGCCCGACCTTGCATCTAGTCAAAGGTGGGTTTATAATCCTGCCTTCAGCCCACCATAGTTTTGGTTGATCGAGCCAAACCACAGTTCATCGTGCTGTTAAGCCGATGTTGCCTACATTGTTTGCACAATGCTCCGGCGACTCTCTTACTTTTGGACCTAAGTACCCCTCTAGTAGTCGCCCTAGTTAGAGCCTTTGAAGTGATCCGATATTTGGCTTAATTTAGCCCTCCCATATGATAATAATGATAATGATAATAGGGATAATAATAAATAATAATAATAATAATAATAATTAGTAATAAATAATAATAACCATAATAACCCGCTTATATATATTATTTGCTATGGATGATGGTGCGGGTCACTCCTCTATTTCTAAGTTTAGGCTAAGCTAGGGGTCCGCTGTCCTAGTTAGGCGGGACAGCAGCCCACGTTAGGGGTTGCCCCAACGATGCCGATTTAGCCCCCGGCTTAGGCCTCCCAAAATACTCTTGAGTCAACTTCCAATGCTTGCAGTCATTCTGCTTGATCATGACAGATGCGAGTGCTGACCCCAGAGCCTCACAAACAAGTTTCTTTCTCTTTCGAAGAAACCCCTCATCACATAGACATTTTTCTCAAGCTTGGTTATCCACTGACAGTTTTTTGCAAAAATCAAAGCTTTTATCGATTTTCACGAAACAAGTTGTAATAATACATTTATGCTTTCATCTCACATGCATAAACAGGTGGCTCCTCAAACGGGCTCCCTCCCCTTAGACATACGGGTGGCTCCTCAAGCGGGCCCCCTTCCCATCAAACATTTAGGCTGCCTTTCCGATTTAACCTTTTTCCATGCATTTTTGTCGAACAATTTTTCACTGACTCTCACATACTAATTTATATGCAATCAAAGTCAGTAACCATTTTGTTCAATAATCAAACAACTTACTCACAATCACAAACAGATACAAACATCACACATGCAAGGAAAGTGAGCACAAGTCCACACTGTGAGAGTATCCCCTGGCTCCCTGTTTCCTCACAAGACTCATGCGTTTGAATCAAACCTGTCAATAGGGCATACTCAAACAAAAAAAATGATCACAAAGGAAAGTCATAACACAATATCGTGTCCCGTAGGATATATCCGTAGGTGTGATATCCACAAGGCCCCACTTGGGGTTAAGAAGGTAATCTCTCTAGGAGTCATGCCTGCCAAACCCCTCGCAGAGAGTGCATTCCGCTCTGAATCCCAGAGCTATCACCATCCGAATATCGAAGCAGTGCCTCTGAACGAAACAATGTATCTCGCAAGAGACACTCACTAACTCATTGTCCTAACCTAAAATGTCATACCTATATCAAATGCACACAAATCTCACACAAAGCTCACACAAAGCCCACACAAAGCCCACACAAAACTCACACAAAACCCACACAAAACCCACATAAAACTCACACAGAACTCACACAAAAATGGGCTCTCATGCCCAGTGCAATCTCTGAAACCCCCTACTCAAGCCAGTCTACTCAAACTAGTAGTCCGTTATGTATATACAGTCTACTGAAGCATGAGTCAAGTCTGGTCACCACTACATATAGTGCATGACTCAAACCTTGAGCCCTAGAGTCAAAACTCTCAATGTACAAGTTGTGAGGCGTACATGTCCATGCCTTGAAGTCTTCAAGGTAGAAGATAATAATATGGAACGTGCCCAACAACCTATCTCCCATGACAATCAACTCATCCTCGTCGACCCTCTCTCTGATCTCATAGTCTGGCACCCCATGCGTCTCGTGGTCATGTAATATGTCACTCACCCTCCCTCAGCTCTAGGCCTCGTCTATCATACACAACTTTCCTAGCACCATGACGTCGTGTTGGAAGACGAGCGCCACGCATATCCCTGACCATCCCCTATCCATCGAACTGCACGACTTGCCTCATGAGGTCAACCTGGAAGGCGGGGCAAACAACTCTATCGTGCACTCCTCTATCACACCATGAGCACATATTACCTGTACAGCTGCCCTCTACCTTCGCCTTTTAAGGCTTGGGTAAGATCTGAGTCTGTGCCCTCTCGAGTCGGATTGTCACATCATGTATGGCTTTGTCGACTGTATCAGGACTCAACATCCTCGAGACTCTCTCAAACATCGCCTCCTCGTCACATTTCTCAGACCCTGAAGAAAGGAGGTGCATTATGTCGTCCATCGGCCCCAAAACTGGAGCTGGTGTAAGCGGCAGAGTCGTCGGCAGTATTGTTGCTGACCCGCTCGTGTCCTCTTGTGGCATGACATCTCGTAGCTCTGAAACTCTCTCTCGCTCGTCATGTCTTCCACCCAATCCTCGCCATGCATCCCTCTGAACCGCCGACTCTGAGGGAGAGACCCAGTCCAAACCTCGTGCCTCTGCCCCTCTTCTCCTCTCGATCTCGTCTGGCTCAAGCATGAGCTTGTCGACGACTGCTGCTTCCTCACATGTCATCCCCATAGCCCCAAGTGGCTCCTCCGTCGGCGAGTCTCGYCGTGGGATATCCAGTCTCACTCCACCTGGCTCTACCTCATGAGAGACATGTGTCTGTCCAAGAGGAATCTGCTGCTCCTTAGTCCTCCTCTCGTTAACCACATCTGTGGTGGCCTGACGCCTCCTACTTCCCTCTAGGTCAGTAATCCTCTGCTCGAGCCTCGAGGTGGACTGTCTTGCCCGCTCGGCGCTAGTGACAAGATCACGTACCGTGTCTCTCAGTCCTCTGTTCTCCCGCTCGAGAGCACCGATCCATTGTACGGCATCCTGAAGCACCTCTCCTCGTGCAACCTCGGTCTGCGCGAGTCTCTTGACATGCTCAGTCACTCCCACCAACTCTCGTACTGAGGCATCAGACAACAATCTCGCCTGAAGCTCCTCCTCCGCATGCGTACGCTCGCCCTCAAGCATAGGATCCTCTCCTGTCCGTCTCCTCATCCTAACCTCCTCCTGCCATCAGGTTATGGCCGCATCCTCATAGAAGAGTCTCTGTGTCTGCTCCTCAGTCTCTCGCCGTACCTGACAAGAGCCGATACCTGGCTCTCCAACTGAGATGATCGCACGGTCTCAAGGACAACCCTGTGCTCGAGCCTATCTCTATCTGTCGCGTCAGCAGGTGGCGCATACTCCCTGAGCACCCTCTAAACCTGGGCTCGCCAATCACTCGCCTCTCTCTCCCGAATCCTGAGGACGGTCTCCGCCTCCTCTAGAGTCTGGACCTGCTTCCCCTCAACAAATGTGCGGAGATCACTCACCACCTCTCTCAGTGCATCGTGCTCCATCTGTCTGTCGCAACTCAACTCAAAGGATCGGATGGCAACTCTCCTCGTGTAATCCCGAACCTGCTCTATCGCTAGTCGAGCTGCTTCGAGGCCACTACCAATATAGTTCCTCTGCAAGGTTAAGTCGTCATACAGTACCCTGAGCCCACAAGTGGTCTGATCAACTGACAAGTGTGGTCTCGCGACCTGGCCCAGTCGCTCAAAAGCCAGCCAACCTGGAAAATGTAATGATGGCATCCGTCCCATCTCCTCGGCTAGCCATGCATCCCTCATGACGGACTCATGATCTATCGGTCCCCGAGACTCCGGCATGCTCTCCTCCTCATGAGTCGAAGATGCGTTCTGTGTATGCTCCGTGCCTGCCTCAATGTGCCCCCTCATACTGGCCTTAGCCTGATCACCATCTCGTCGTGGAGTATCCCCAAAGTCTAATGGTGACGTCTCCACTCGCTGGGTCTGCATGTCCTCCATAAGACCCTCTCTATCTAGCCCCAAGACCTCGGCCTCAACTCGCTCTATCTCCATGTCCATGGCCGGGGGCTGGGATACCTCCTGTCGCATCTGCATACTAGGAGATTCCATGTCATATAGTTGGGCAGTCAATGAACCCTCAGGCTCATTTGGCTGCTCAGCCAATCGACTCTCGCTCAGTAACGGTGATCCGTCCAATGATGAGGGTCCCATCGCACCTCTCTCACCATCCTCAACTGCCGGCTTTGACCTAGACTGGCCCCTCTACCCATCATACCCTAGCTCATCATGCATCGGCGTCGTCTCTCGCGGCTACTCAGGCTGAGGCTCCTCGTGCTCCTGCATCGGTCCTATAATGACAGGCCCTATCATAAGCAGTAACTCCCTTTGTAGGAGATCTAGTGCCATGTCTCGTGTATCGGTCCTATAATGGCAGCCCAAGCTTGAACTAGGTAGGTGTGAACCCTGCATATGAGTAGTCGTGGGACTGTGATTGGTCCTACCCACACAAACCAGGCTTTGGCCTTGGCCTACCGGCCAATCTCCCGGCTGCCAGATGACGTCGTTCGTGCCTAGGTTCGTAAAACCGTCTGGCACACTGGTCGTCGGGCGCACCACATGCTTTGCCGAACTCTCAACTTTCCCCAAACTCGGCCTGACGAACCCGTGCCTTTCAGCGTGTCGTCAAACACAATCTTCCCGTGGCCGAGCCGGTCTACAAGTAAAGATAAATAGATACTATAAGATGAAAGGAAAATATAACCAAAAATAAAAATTACAGAAGATGGGTAACCGGTCCCTATGGCTTTGACACATCCTGCCAGCGTTCATCGGGCATCACCCACACCGACCGCGGGTTTGCTTGTCAATTTTCTATTCCGGCTCCACGGACTGCGCTACTTGTGCTTTTGGTCAGGCTCATTCCTTGCTTGCTAGACTGGCATCACCGACGATTAATGGTCATCTTACTGTGCTACGCAATAATGCGAGCCCCCCACACCCTCTAAGTCGACTATACCAGAGTCGGAGTTTCGCCAAGAGCGAGGCTGCCGAGATAAGCGCCCTAACGTGATTTACCTCATCAGCGTATTTCATTGATCAAGGACGCACCCAGTGCGACCTTTAAAAAGGACGGCAAATACCCTGGTAAGGGTGTTTGCCACGACAGCGTTATCGCATTGAGAGAATGGCAACTCGCTTGAGGATGAGAGTGTTCGTTCGCAGGCAGAGGCAGCTGATGCAACAAGTGATGGATGCACCCGATTGTGTGTCGTTATCGGAATCCATTGCGCAATTCTGCTGCACCATGGCATCGGGTGTGATCCCGCGGGCGACGCCGAGACGGTGGATCAGGAGAAGGACGGGAGGGATATGAAAGGGTCTCCGACAGGTTGATGACACAACGGAGGGCTACTACAAGGAAAAGCTGTGGAGTGGAGTAGTCAATGGCAAGCGTCGACTGTCAGCGGGAGGTTTCCTGCCTGTCCATCGTCGTCTCCTCGCCGTTCACTACGTTCAGTGTTTCTGTCCGCTGCCAGGACCCCACACAACGATGGACACATGGAACAACACGACAAGGAGAGAAGAGTGGCCAGCAGCAGGAGAGGGAACCGCTGAAGGACATCTGCAATGAATCACAGCGTGCGAGGCGTGTACCAAACAAAGCTTGCATCAATGCGCCCGACAATAGCTGGCAAAACATGCAAGCCATATGACTGCAGTTGACCGACAGTGCTTCAACATCGCTTGTAGAAAACTAAAAAAATTCGACCGTTGGACACCACGGCCGGCGACGCGCGCATGAAAAACCCTGCTTCGTGAAGCGCCTTGCACGTGAAGAACCACCCACCCACATTTCCAAGCCAATAGGTAACGGTGGAAGGCCGTTGGGCCCCGTCGGGTACCGGGGGCCGGCAATGTCCGCCCAATGGACCACGGACGAGCTGTGCACCAACATCGACTTCTGTCGGCACTCGCTCCAGGACACTCTGTCAATCACGGCTCCTTGAACCCAAGGGACCTTGTGAGGACCCCTTGATTTCAAGGACGTTCTGGCTGGGGATTCTGAGAAATCGAAAGAAATCTCTTGGGAGCGTTTTCACATTCATAATTTCCTAAAAATCGGATTTCCAAGGAGGGTCTAGCGAGGCCCTATGTTGCACACACACATGTGGGGCAGGCTGGGGCTTTCAAGGCTTCGCCCTTGGCCTTGCCAGCCTTGGTATCTGACATTTGTACAAAGAAAACAAGAAATAACATGTTAGAATGGGGGTTGGTAGGTGAAGTAGACATATCACGTAATGTGGCTTGCTTGACTGTCTCTGAACTGGGGCTGGGAGGGGCTTTGAAGGCTTCGCGCTTGGCCCTGCCTAGCCCCCGTGCCTAGAACTGCTCTGGTCGTAGTCGCCCTCTGAAGTAGCATGCTGATAGCCTTTTTTTTTTTTTTTTTTAATATATTTTAAATAAGTCCATGGTGTTGTAGAGGCCAGTCACTGAGTACACAGTGATCACCTGGAGCAGTAGGCTGTGGGTGTCCTGGAATATGAGACCACCTCCCATCCCATCCTCACGTCAATAGCATGCTGATAGTCCTGAGTACTCAATGCTGAGGTAAGATAGTACGGATAGGGGTGCACTAGGAGAACTGCCGAGAGGATGGATAGGGAGGTGGTCTTACAAAGCGTAAGGGAGTGTCTAGGACAGCCAATAGCTGTGGCAGTAACCCCGTGTGTCGGGAGTCCGGCTTCTACAACAACAGAAAAAAAAAAGAAAAAAGAAAAAAGAAAAAGAGCTATTTTGATGAAAGTCATCTGGGACAACCGCAATAATCAGTTATTTCGCTCCTCCGTTATCTCAGACTCTCAGACAATCAGGTTAGATCCGGTTGATGTAGCTCAGTGGTTAGACTGGTTATCAGGAGTGATTGCACAGGAGTGATTGCACCAGACGAGGTTCCAGGCACTCAGATGTCCAGGAAGTGGTTTTGGGACATGGAAAGCTCTTTCGCTCCCCCATTTCTCCTGTTTTGGAGAAGTTTTATCTCACTAAAAGGGACACTGGAGCTGGTTTCCAGGAGCTCAGCTACTATTCGGGACTTTGTGGGGTCCCCTGGGGACGAGTCGCACTAGCTTGGATTCTTCATGGCTGGCGGTTGATCTTCGTAATCTAGGATCAGAAATGAAGAGTACGCGTAAGTGGGACTTGCCTTCTGGTTCCTTCGGCGTATGAGAGAAAAGTTTCTTCGCTCATCAAACAGGGGGAAAAAAGAAAATGGGCCCGTCGGCCCCGAATCCAATTGGCTACGGCCTATGAGGCGGTGAGAAAACAAACCGAGAGAGCTTCGAGCTCATGATGTGTTCAGTGATGGTCATAAACTATCTACCATTGCGCCAGATGGACTTCGTGAAAATCCGGGAGACCGTACGACCCTTTCACGTCGGCAATCGTGAGTTCGAAACCGGCGTCCATTTCAAGAGAGAAACAAGAAAACAGAGCGATCCGGTCAGGCTCGCAAACATGGAAAGAGCAAAAACTAACCCCGGTCTGGTTGAACCTGGACTTAATCGAATACCCAAATGCATGCACTTCACCATTTGGAGGGGGACACCTTTCTGGGGCGCGGGGAGGTCTCATAACTTTTCCCTAGCTTTGTTCCCTTCAACCGCGAATCTACCCACCGTCAGTCCTAAACCCAACACAACGCCGCCAGCAGAGCGTCCTTCTTCGCCGAGTCATTAATTTCATGTCTAACTCCATGATCACGTGTCTTTTTTTTTTCCCCCCCCATCTGCTCATCTCTCCACCTCTTCACATCTTATGGACAGGTCCCACTTCTCCGAGTTCTCGATTTCTGGTCGTATAGATTATGAAAATCGACGGCCAGAGTTGAAGCATTCGGTCAAGCGGGAGTTGAGTCTTAATCTCTATATAGTCTGTACAAGGAGTCTCACCACGGTTAACAACATCAAACTGCGTCGGACATGCGTGTAGGGTCCGATAGGAACCACAGGGTTGGATAGGTTATGGCTATGGCTATGGGTGACGAGGGAGAGTTCTCTCTGTGCATTCGAGAATCTCTCATTCTCTGAGGAGGCGGGGAGAGAGGCGCGCATCTTTTTGCAGTCCTTTAGCTCAGCAGCGGATGAACTGATGTATCTGTAGTTTGCTTGATTATATTACTATATCATATTTCAGTTGCGAAGCAGAGGGGCTTCATCCTCCGATACCGTGTTAGCGAAGGAGCGCGTGCGAATCACTAGATATGGTGATCAATCAACCTCCACCGGTCGATCTCCGGGACAGCCGACACGATGGTCCGGCCATCGGTATCGACTTGGGGACCTGTAACTGTTGTGTGGCTATTCGTCGCCGCGGACACGTGGAAGTCATTGCAAACCGCGATGATGGGGAGAGAATCATCCCATCTTACGTGGCGTTCAATGCGAGGGGGCGGGAGATCGGTAAAGCGGCTAGACAGGCGGCAGCGGAGCATCCCAACTGTGTCGTGTACGAGTCGAAGAGAATCCTCGGCAGACGATTCGACGATGCAGAGGTGCAAAGGGACCTAGAGAGGTGGCCATTCAAGGTGGAGAGAGGATCTAACGGTGAGCCTGTGATCGTGGTACCGAGCAGGGAATCGACCGTCGAGAAGCTTCTGCCCGAAGCGATCTCGGCAGAACTGCTTAGGAAGTTGAAAGCCATGGCTGAGGAGGCCGCAGGTTGTGAGATCAACAACGCCGTCATCACCGTCCCAGCTCACTTCAACGACGCTCAGCGAAGAGCGACAAGGGATGCTGGAGAAATCGCAGGACTGAACGTTCTTCACTTGATGAACGAGCCGACTGCCGCCGCTATTGCTTACATAGAGATGAAGAAGCTAAAGGTCCACGGCAACAATGACGTTGATCTTCTATGCAGTGGAGGGGAGAAGGAGAAGGTGGTCGGCGATGGCGGCGGCCAGGAGGACGACGACGACGAAGAAGAAGAAGAGAAGAAGACCATCGTGGTCTTTGATCTTGGGGGAGGCACGTTGGACGTCTCCATCATGACGATTAGTCAATCGCAGTGCATCGTGTTGGCATTAGCAGGAGACACGCACTTGGGAGGCATCAATTTCGACCAGCGTCTGCTCGATTACGCACTGCAGGTTCTGCGAGAAAAGCACGGCCTCGATATCTCCAACGACAAAAGACGGTTGTTCAAGCTTCGACAACAATGCATAATGGCCAAGCACAAGCTGTCGACAGACACGAGGGCTGAAGTTCAAGAGGACTCGTCGAAGATCAAGCTGCAGATCATGCGTTCGAACTTCGRCGAAATCAATCGKGATCTATTCGATAGATGTGTCCGTTCGGTGGACTCAGCAATGAAGGATGCGAATTTGTCAGYGGGCGAGATCGATGACGTTCTTCTAGTGGGAGGCTCGTCCAACATTCCTAAGATTYAGAAACTGCTGAAGCTTTTCTTCGAAGGTCGAGAGCCGTTGATCGCTGTCAATCTGGATGAGGCGGTGGCGTACGGAGCTGCCGTGAAGGCAGACATGCTGGGGGGTGATCGATGTGCCGATCTCGATAAGATCACAGTTCGAGACGTAACACCGCTCAGCCTCGGGGTCCGAACCCGGTTCGGCAAGATGAACGTCGTTATACCAAGGAACACACCCATACCGGCGGAAGCCTCGCGTACCTACGCGATGGCTGCTGATAATCAGACGATCGGGTACTTCGCCGTCTTCGAAGGAGAGCGCCCTCTTGTCAAAGATAACCGTTTTCTTGGAGGTGTGAAGTTTCCCGGATTCAAGCGGGACGAAGCAGGGAGAGGGAGAGCTGATGCCGTGCTTCGGATCGACGAGGACGGGATAGTGCACCTCACAGTCCGTGCCAAACGGTGTCACACCACGCCGGGCAAAACGATCAGCACGACGATCACTGACAAAGGCAGGCTGTCGAAGATGGAGATCCAGGCGATGTCGGAAGAAGCGGAGCGATTCAAGTCATCAGATGAAGATGTCAGTAAACGGTGCGATGCCAGATCTTCCTTAGAAGCTCTTGCCAGGCGAGTTAAAAAGAAGCTGAGCAAGCTGAGCAGCGGGGAGGCGAAGGAGCAGCGGGGAGGCGAAGGACTCTCTCCAGGAGACTGTCACCCAAGTTTTGAGCTGGCTGGACAGCTCAGCGATGGGCGTGGTCCCGAAAATGGAAGAGTTGATGGCACTTCGCACTAAGTTATAGACCGCCTGCGATGTCGCAGGGTTAGCTGTAGAGTTAACAGATGGGTGAGTTGATTGCAAATCGCACTAAGTTGGTTGTTAACCGCTTGCGATGTCGCAGGGGGTGTTAGTCGGAGAGCTAAGCGATGGGTGAGTTGAAGTCAAATCGCACTAAAGTTGTAGAGAACCTGCGATGTCGCAAGGGGGGTTAGTTGCAGAGTTAAGAGATTTGTGTGAATTGATGGCAAATTGCTCTAAAGTTGTTAAGAGCCTGCGATGTCGCAGGGGGGTTAGTGGGGGGGAGTTAAGCGACGGATGCCGTTCACAAGATGGACGAGTTAATATACTGGGACATCATCGCAGTAGTAAGTTGTTTCGAGCCTGCGATTCCGAGAGATTACAGTCTTCACCCCAATCGAACGGCTGCTAATTATGGATGTGCTAAAGGCAATTTTCAGTATAGCTTTGGAATGACCGGGCTGAAGCCTTTTTATTCGGGTGAAGACGACGGTCGAAGAACTCAGCGATGGCTGTCGTTCTGACGATGGAAGAGAGGCGGAAACATCTCACAACGTTGTTGCGAGCCTGCCATGCTGCAGGCTTAATCCAGCGTGCAGTTATATTAATGCACAGGAGGCGATAGTGGTGCACGATCTACCCGTCATCCGTTTGGGATACCATGCGGAGTTTTTTGCGGGTTAGGGACATCATGGCCGACATGTAAAAGCGTGTTAGAGACCAGCCAGCGGGGAGCTTTGATAAGCGAGTCTGTTTATATTGGATGCTTAAGCAAGATGACGGGTTCTAGCTCTTTAACGTTGTAGAAGCCTCGGTGAATGATATTTTGTTGAGAAATGTGGCCGTCCGTTTGCCGCTGACGTCAAGAAAAAAACAAAAGAAGATGCTAAAAGAAAATTTCCAAGTGCGGAAAAGAAAGCAATAGAGCATTCTTCAAGTTTAGTGCTTCCTTCGCGACGGCCACAGCCAGCTTCGTCTGTGAAATAATTGCGGCCCAAACCTCTTTAGTTGGTGTTAAGTTGTTAACGGTCTCCTGGTCGACTAACTTAGCCTTCTTGACGGCCCCAACCTCTTAAGAGGTGTCTTTCGTCTCCGTCTGTGTTCCGAAAAGCCAATCAGAGGTCTGTTTGTTTGCTTTGGGGGGGGAGGGGGGGGTCGCTATGGTCGTCATTACCAACCGGCTGCTATGATTGAAATGAAATGAAATGGTTTTTCCATAGCAACTAGTGCAAATGTTTGTTGCTTTTTTAATGGTCTCCTTTTTTTTTTGCCTTCAACTTAGTTTTCTTGACGGCTGCATGTGTCTTACGTTGTCCTCGGGTTTTCCTCAAGAGGTGATCAAAGGTCTGTCTGTTTGCGATGGGCTATGGTCGTCGTTCCCAACGGGCTGATAACACTTTCAAATGAAATCGTTTTTGACTAGGTAGCAACTAGTGCACAGTCTTATTTCCCAATCCTCGCCTTCTTGTTAGATCGGCTATTTCTGTATCATCACCACTGCACGGCGGGTTTTGGGCGATCGCAAGAGGGTGCGGCCTCGTGTTTGTATTTCATTGCCGTGAATGATTTTGATTAAACAAGCCACGTCACAGACTGAGCTCAATCGAAGAAAAGATGAAGTTGAAGTTGTGAAGCTGACTGGACGAGATCAATCGGTAGTGACGCGACTGGAGAAGATCAAACCCTGCGAGTATCAGACCGTTTTGTCTTTTATGTCGATATTTTTTACGAGAACGGTAATCAAAATGGATATTATTTGATCTCTGTCGAGTCCGTGCGTATGATTTTCTAGAATTGTACTACATGTATATCTTAACGACGTGGTGCTAAATGATGTTGACGTCAATCCTAGACTGTTGTTTGCGGGTGTTGTGTGTGTGTGATTGTTTCAAAATTCGAAGCTTTTATTGTACATAATCTATAGGTATGCGGAGGATGTCTCGCTTATGCGTCGATCGTGGGCTGTTTGCGATGGATGTCTCGCGTGCGTGCAGTGCACATGATGCTTTCAAGTTTTAAGTTTCCTTGGACATGTTAACCCGTCTCATAAAAACTTGTACAAGTGCTTTGCCGCTCCTTGCCGTCGCTTTCACTTTCACTTAATGAGTACGTACACTCTGATGATGGCCGGTACCTGCGAATTGGCCGAGCCACGTGTCAGGTGCTGGATAGACAGTTCTTCCACACAGGACCACACGACTATGGGTCTCTCCGCCTGACTGTATTCCACCTTTTTGGCTCTGTTATTCAAGATTACACCAGCTCTAATTGCCCAATCGCGCTCGGGGTTTTCATTCTATATCTCGCCTACTCTATTCCTCCCCTCATGCTGTTTGTCCATTTAATGTCATTGTGTGAGGTTTCGGTGCCCTCACCTTCACACCATGCATGCATGGATTGTTGCGTCGAACGGCCTGCATCAATTTGAAGTTTTTTGTTTTGTTTTGATTTGTTTTCTGTTTTTCCGTCGGAAAGGGCGACGGCCATGAGATGTCATCATGGAATTCAAGGCCCTCGTTAATTCAGAAGTGTTGTTTTCTTCTAATCGAACTGCGTCTGGAATCGAACTTGGGTCTGTATTTCAACAGTTCATGAGTAGGCCCGCCGGTCTACTTTCGACCGTCGGTGCCCGTCTAATGGTRAACACAAAACTTTAAGGGCAAATTCGTCGTTTCAAGGTCGAAATCTCACCCCGAGTACCTCAAAATTGCTCAGCGTAATTTCACATGGAGAAGATGTAAGATTAGTCATTCATCGGCTTGAGGCCAGGACCACCTGGACAAGTGTATAACGAGGCGTGCGCGTTCACAGGAGAGAGAGAGAGAGAGAGAGAGAGAGAGAGAGAGAGAGAGAGAGAGAGAGAGAGAGAGAGAGAGAGAGAGGCCTGTTCCGCAGCGTCTGACACT